GACACCAACTGCTGACTGTGTGGCAAACTGCGAATACAGCAGGCAAAGCGAAGTTGTTGCGAAATTACCGATAGCCTGAAAATGCTAGACATACGCACAACTAAAACTGTAACGGTGATTTTCCTACTATTTATATATATGTACATATGTATGTATATATCTCAGCATCCTGTGTGTAGRCCAGGCAGTAAGTTAGTGAATGTCCACGTCACTGCCCTCCGCACTTTCTAGTGCAAATATACTCGCTATCGGCTATATATGGACGTATGGCTACTTCTATGTACATATGTATGTATGCTCAGCAGGAGGAAACCAGTTTTGCACCTTTTCTCTAGCCGCTCTTTCAATGTTATKTTGCTATAGTTCTTTTTTACCGTTCACTGCACCTTTCCGGGTGGTGCGGCAGCGTAGCATTTGGCCTAGAGACAGTTATATATTACAACAGCATCAGCGACAAGAACAACGGCAGCAAGGCTGCAATTTTAACACCATTCGAGGTGTAGATAGTTCTTTTCATGTGTAGCAATGAGTGTTGCGAGTTTTTGCGCATGCGTGGCACATTGCCATGCTAGGCTAAGTATASTAGTCATATAGTTGCTCCGTCGGTTGGTTGGTTGCTTATCTGTGACTGCGCTACATTTTTCGCTTCCTTCTTCCAAATATACTACACTCACATACACATTTACCTATGTACAATCAACTACTTACGAGGCTGTCTGATACTGTGTTTTAGAGTTTGCTGCACCTCCTTCGAACAATAAAATGTAACTGTAAAGTTAAATCAAACGAATTTACTTTTCCACTAATTTACCACAAAACTCGCAGGAAACGGTGCAGAAACGCTTTCATACATACATATGTATGTACATATGTATTTGCTTTTCAGAATGTAGATAAAGCGAGCGTGTAGTTGTGGGGAATTGTAATTAACTTAGTTTTTACATATACATACATATGTACATGCATATAGTATATATCGTCACCTGAAATGCAAAATAATGTAACAACATTTTCGGAAATTTACAGTGGCATGAATSAAACACGAAAGAAAATGGAACATGAGTGAAACAAAATTTTAATACTGGTTTATATCTGAGTGCAGAACCCGAAAATGTTGAACATACATATGTACATATGTAATATTTTGTATGTAATTTGAAGTAGTGTAGCGTTATCAATAAGACACTCAATTTCGAATTTTTTGATGATACGTTATTTTGCATTTCAAGTGACGATATGTACATTACATTACATTATTTAATTTTATTATTTTCATATCTACATAATTTCCATATAAAAGAAAAGATATCTTAAACGTACCATACATATACTAGTATGTATCTCTGAAACCGCACCAGCTGCTTCAAAAAAATTTGGTCGGTTGTGCTCTCGTTGACTCTCTTTTTTCTCTCTTTGAAAACAGCAAATGGAGATAGTACTCTTTCACCTCGATGTATTATGATAAACTTGGCTTATGGTTGTAGGTTGACCACGGTTTCTACCAATTTGACATCAAAAAAAAAAATTATAAAATCTTTCTTTAAAAGTTATAAAGGTAAAAGGTATAAAGCAACGTAAAGTAAGGTCTCGGGACTAAAAAGT